TAGACGGACCCACCTTCGTTTAATTGTGTACCGGCTTAACCCCGTACGTGCATCTCGAATTTTAATATCCACCCGGCGAATCCCCGGGCTTTTATTTTTATTGCACTTGCGGTGAGAAATTTGCATATATAATTTTTGTTCTACAGCTCTAATTTATTTATTCCGACGGCATTAGTCGACCGAGGCGAATGATTTCGAATTGTGGACCATTGTTTATATAGAAAGAAATAAGTTTATTTAGTAACGCATTATAGTAATTTACTTACAATTATAACATAATATTATGAATTTAAACTCTGCGTAATCTTGACTAAGTACCTTGAGTAACTGACAAAGTACCTACTTAGACGCTGATCTTCCGTGGATGTCAATGAAAATTTACCAAAAAAATAAACGTTACAGTAATCATTATTATACAATTTTAATTATCTTTGTGATAATATAAATATATCACTACACGTATACACACATATCACATACATATTTATAGTAAATAAATATAATAAAACTACTTTTATATAGCTACCTATTACTTTTATAAAATTAGAAACAAATAAATGGAATAGAATAATATGTAAGATACATTATATAATTTTCAATATTATATACAGGGTTATTTTTCAAAGAGTAGCCAAATTTTAAACTTAAGTTCGAATATATAAATAATGATATACCATTATTGCAGTTTTTGTAAATACGAATAAATAAGGCTTCTACTTTTATTTGTAATTATCCCAAATTGAATGTGATTTATGGGCAAAGTTTTTGTCTACCGATCGACGCTTACGAATGTGTGCGTGCGCAGTAAAATCAGTTAAAATAATGCATTACCCCGCATTTTGAATTTAAAAGTTAAAAAGGACAGAATGATTAAGATTTTTTTAATTAAATTTTCTTCACCATTTGCATATTGTATGTTGTATATATGTTTAATTATATTTAATATTGCAGTAGTATATAATATACTAAGTAATATTGCTGTTATTGACTGAAGGAAAAAAATATTAAGCACATTATTTAACACATTGTTTTAAAAATAAATGTAAATTTAACGCACGTAAGATTATCATAAAGGACATGATTCTTATGCTCCTAAACACGAACAGTCATATCCTATTGTGACTTTTTAAGATACAATGTTTTGTTTTTAAGGTACAATAAAAAAAATTTTACGTGGTAGAGCCATGCTGCAGCTATATTAACAGTATGGTTGTAGCACGAATGGGTCGGCTCGACCGGGGAAGGACCACGTTCTCACATAATACCAGCGTAAAATGGCAGCTTAACACTGCTGTGTTTCGTATGGTGAGTGTAAAGAACCGGAGACCCTTTTTACTGGCAAAGAGGCATTCCATCTAAGTCCTCACGGGTGACAACGCATCTGCATTTTGATTCGCAAACGAGGATAAATGTAGATGTCTATGGGCCACAGCAACCACTTACCATCAGGTGGACTGTGTGCTCGTTTGTCACCCCATCCTATAAAAAGAAAACAATGATGGAACATTGTTGCCAACTATCCACAGTTACACTAATGTCTTACATAATATGTATTAAAATTCTATAACCACACAACTAAACTGAAGATTGGGAAATAAATCAAAAATCGTTTTCGTCATCAAAGTCACACGCCATGCAGAAATATTTTAAACCACAAATATCGCGTACTGACACCTTATTTCGTATTTATGTTTGTAAAGCAGGAAATATATAGTTGGAGATTAATTGAACGTTTGTGATGACTATAATTATGTCTGTATTTTACGCGATATATTATGAGCCGAATTTGATGATCCTTTTTTATTAATAGTTTATATTCCAGGGAATTACATAGAAATTTGAGAAAATAATTTACCCCTAAGTGTGGCTAAATAGAGGAAAAATATTTAATGTAACTATTTAGACGAAGTTGAGATTGTGACTTATGTATTCCTTAGTCCACTCAAAAGGCTAAAAAAAAAATAATAAAAATGATAGGCCGCATTCTAAGAACTTAAAATAATAAAGTATTTTCACATTGGGCTTCAATTCTTCTGTGTACACTATGCCTTAGCAACGATTTTACTTTAAGGGTTTTACATTTCAAAAGAATTTTTTTTGGTATTACAAACTCCATCGTTCATCGCGCCCACTTTTTTGTTATACTAATGATGGTATTTTTGGTACAAAAAACTGTCTAAATACACTGTCTTTAATTAAATAGAAATAAAATTGTACGACAATGAATTTATTTCATTTATTTTTTTTATAGGAGAGGGGGCAAACGAGCATGCGGCTCACCTGATGGTAAGTGACTACCGCCGCCCATGAACAACTGCAACACCAGGGGAACTACAGGGAATTGGCTCTTTTCTTGAAGGTCCCTAAGTCGTATCGGTCCGGAAAAATCGCTGATGGTAATCGATTCCACAAGGAAGTTGTGCGAGGAAGAAAGCATCTTCTAAATCACACAGTGGTGGACCGCCAATCATTCAGATGGTGTGGATGGTATCGGGAGTTCTGCCGCGATGTGTGTTCGTGAAATTTGGCGGCTGGAATTAATCCGAACAATTCCTCAGAGCACTCCCCGTGGTAAATGCGAAAGAAAATGCAAAGGGATGCAACATTTCGTAGTGCCAATGAATCCAACCGATCGGAAAAGACTCGGTCGTCGACGATTCGAGCCGCTCTACGCTGGATGCGGGCAAGTGGAAGGAGCTGGCACTGGGGAGCCCCTGCACTTGTAAAGTTGCAGGTAGTGTGCCGGCATGAAATACTGTCCCGCTCGGCTGAGCACACCAAGCTTTTTAGAGGCCAATTTGGCCTTCTCTTCCAAATGACCACGAAACTGCACGTAACTCGATATGTCGACGCCGGGGATTCCGATACTGGCTGAGGCAACAAGGGGAGTGCCTTGAAACTAAGGAGATACGACAAAGGGGTTCTTTCTAGCGGTAAACGCGCAAACTTGTGTCTTCTGGGGATTGAACTGGACTAGATTTAGTCGCCCCAATCAGAGACTTTGTTAAGCAAAGACTTGACTTAAGACACAAGTTTGTTCCGGTACTCGGTGACGTTTTTCCGAGAAATATTAGCACAGCCGGTGTATAGAGCATCACCAGTGCTATCATCCGCGTAGGAATGAATGTTACCAGTTTACAACATATCATTGATATGCAGAAGAAACTGCGTTAGTGATAGCACACAGCCTTGTGGAACACCAGCGTTAACAGGCTTGTAGTCGGAGCATGCACCGTCTACAACGACCTTGATGCTCCGATCTGCAAGGAAACTGGTGATCCAATTGCACAATTTCACGGGAAGCCCATAGGAAGAGAGCTTTGAAAGAAGCGCTTTGTGCCAAACCCGATCGAAGGCCTTCGCAATGTCCAAACTAACGGCCAACGCCTCCCCATTGGACTCTACTATTCATTCAGAAACATAAGTGATTCGATGCCCACTGCTCAATTGTGAGACCACCTCAATAACGGATATGTTACTTTAATTCATTTTTAATGGTATAAGTTTTAAAATGCTTTAAAGGATATTTTACAAAATTTACCTTTCTATTTCTTTTTCACTTAAAATATTTTTGTTAATATAGTATCTTGTCAATTGTTTACAAAGAGCATATTAAAAGGAGCGTCGATTAAGGTGAGTTAGTCATTAATCAATTCTTGTTTCACCTCAGTCACTGGCTCCCCAGATTTATAAGCCGCGGGGGCCGGGCGACCCGACACGGAATACGTTAGGGTTAAAGCGCTTTGATTCTTTCGATAATCACTGCCTAATGCAGTCCACCGTTTTTCTAATTGTTTACAGACTACTGGTTGCCTAATGGTTGAAATTCGACCGTAATTCTATATAAAATCTGTCAACTACTAAAATCTACACCAAATATAAAATCTGTGTTTTTACGTCTGGCCAGCCATGAGATTTACTAGGCGTTTTCCGTAGTCGCCTCTTACAAACCCATGGAACGAAGCGTAAATTCTCTGACGACTTCACCACATTTGTTAAAAATGTTTTGATTTTAATAGTCTATCCCCGCCGGCATCAGTTAAATTGTTAATTGCAATTTTAAGTGCTGATTTACCACGTGTTTGGCGGTGAAGGAAAACATCGTAAGTAAACCAGTATGTCTGAGAAATAATAAAAAACATATATTTCGTATACATGTGAAGTTCGCCAACACGCATTGGGACAGCACGGTGGACATTTCCTTGCCCTAAAACCCTCTCAGAAATGAGAGGAGGCTTGTGCCCAGCTGTGGAACATATATAGGCTGTAACTTACACTTTTTTTATACACGAATAATGGTAGAATAGTGTAAAGTTTATCCGGCGATAACAATTTTGCACTCGACAATCAACGCAACTTTTTCAATTTCCTCTAAAATAGAAGCCGCCGACCGGCTACCAAACGATAAACGATTATAAGTAAGACGTAAGAGGAAACGAGGCGAGGCGGCGGCGTAATGAGAAATAAAGCGAAAAAGGCGACCAGGAAGCGAGACGAGCTCCCTCAGGCGCCTTTTTTGTACCTTTTATTGATTAAAAAAGTTTCTTAATCATATCTCCGTTCGTCGGGAGATAGTTGGGCGTTAGCTGCGTGATGGAAACGCGATTTCAACGGAACTTTCCTCCGCTCTTCCTTAGGAAGAACGCATCGTACTCTCCCGCAACAATCGTTTCTGTCATCTTAACATACATAATATATAATATATACTCACCATTTGAAATTATAAATTCTCACATTTAAAATTTCTCAAAGAATGCCAGGGTAAAATTGCAATTAAATGCTGCTGTGTTTTGTTTGGTGAGTGTGACGGAGACTGGTTTTACTGGAAAAGGGACATTCTATCTTAGTCCTCAAGGTTTTAATCTTAATTAGTGATGTGTTTATGGGCCATATCATTCGCTTACTAAAACAAACCCCCCCCCCCCTTTCTTTTTAATCTACTAATACACATTAAACACTTACACAATAAAGCTAAGACTGTCGTATCCTTATTGTTTCAGAAACTCCATCTTCTCTCTCCGCCGGCCTTCAAAGTTGAGCGTGTGATGAGTAGCAACTGCGGCAGTCGCCTGTGCCTGTTCGGTTCCCGGGGCGTGACTGTCGCAGAATTACCAAGCAGGTGGGGACGCGGCGGACTCTTCGATTCCGGCAGCAAAACTGTGCTCTGCAAGTAAGTCTACTTATTAATACAACAAAATGCGATTAAACACCTTCTCAAATTTAAGATGTTTCTTGATTTCTTCTGAATGTTTACCACATTAGTAAATTTAATTATTTCATCAAAATTATTTAAAATAACAAAGATGAACATGAACGCAAGAACAATAAACAGTCCTGAGTCATCCGCATTCGTCGACCGAGGCTGACACGAGAACCTTTCTTCCTCATCGCTTTTCGGTTCTTCGAAAGACATTTTAGTATATTAATTATTAATATTTTTTATATAAAATAAGGGTGACAATCGAGCATACAGTCAGCCTGATGGTAAGCTGCTGTTGTGGCCTATAGACATCTACATCTATCATCGATTAAAAATCAAAATGCAGATGCGTTGCCAACCCTGAGGACTAAAATAAAATGCCCCGTTTCCAGTTAAAAAAAGTCTCCGGTTCTCTACACTCACCATACGAAACTCAGCAGCATTAAGCTGCTATTTTACGCTGGTTTTCTGTAAGAGCGTGGTCCTTCCCCGGTCGAGCCGACACACCCGTGCTACAACTATACTAGTAATGTAGCTGCAGCATGGCTCCACCACCTGTAATCATGGACACCAGCCCGCATTACTTCATGTATTAGGCAACACGTAAAGTACCTTACTAAATATAATTCTAAGGATATTTATTAGAGCGAAGTTTTAAAGTCGTATACTTAAAGTAAACACCTGCATACCCCGCGTGATAAGTTCCCGAGAGCGCCGGCACGTAAGCATCGTGTATTTTCTACTATCACGGTAAATTTTGTAACCTATTAAGCTCCTCGAAGCGGCTATAATGTTAGCCTGAGGTAACGATTAAGACATAGATTAGAAAGGAGTTTTATATTTTCGCAGAGCCGACACGCTTCTGAAATCTGATTTTCTGCCCATACTGACATTTTATATTCAGTATGTAATATGGAATATTTTCGTTGCTATATAAGCTACAATTGTGTTGTCATGTTTTAATTGATCAAGATACTTTTCTTATTTTACATTCTATTAGACCATTTTGGGAGAAAATTTTAATGTTTCCTACATTCGACAATGATTGGTCAGTGTTACTACATATATTTACATTAAATATGTTTAACAATATGTTTAAAAGTCCAACTTATCTTAATTTTTTTATCGACCTAACATTTTCTTAAAATCTTACTTCAGTAATTTAAATTTAAAGTTTTATAATCTTCAAAAGGCTGAATAGATTTTCTTGAAACATAGCTAATACACTCTCAATGAAGGCACCTTTCAAACAAAATGAACTTAATCAAAATAGGTTCATCCGTTCAGGAGCTATGATGTCACAGAGATACACACAGGTACACACACACACACTGGAAAAGATGTATTACATCTTAGTGCCCACGGGTGAAAACGCATCTGCATTTTGATTCTTTATTGAGCGTACATGTAGATGTCTAAGGATCACAGCAACCACTTACCCTCAGGTGAACTGTGTGCTCGTTTGTCAGCCTATCCTATAAAAAAACACTTGTCACAGCTGTCTCACAGAGACTGCCCAATGTTAGCCACAAAAAATCAACCAACTATCTATGGACAACTACTCTAGAGCTCTTGCGCGCTCAAGTCACCACTCTTTTGTACATGTTATTAGGCGGCTATATCTCGCGATTTGCATATTTCTGCAGTAAAATTAATTCGAAGATTTGCCCGCATCCAGACGAGTGGAGGGCGTCTTCGCTGGGGGATAATGTTTTTGGATTTGTGCATTCGGATTGAGTCGTGCCGATCAGTTGAGGCGAGACAGTTGTATAAATAATCATTTATTTAAAATTAAGGGTTATTCGTAGAAGCATCTTTATATTTTTCTCAATTTAATTAGAATTCTGATGAGTTTTTTCATGTTTTACAGTTCATATCATCCTTGGCATTGCTACAGCACATCACAAGTCCACTGCTGAACAGAGGCCTTTTCAATAGGTTGCCTCCTGCATCCATCGACTCCTTGCATATTTCATCAGGTCGTCACTCCATCTGGTAGGTGTCCGCCATTCGAGAATGGGTTATTTCATAATAAATTTTAAATGTTTCCATTAAATTATTTTTAAACCTCTTACTTTAAGATCAACTTTTAATAGTTATACATCAGCCTATCCAAAATTGGTACAATTTTCCGTAGCCACAAACCTCGAAAGATGAACCGGGAGTTACAGCATTGAGCTGCTATTTTACGCTGGTATTCTGTGAGAGCGTGGTCCTTCCCCGGTCCAGCCGACCCATTCGTGCGACAACCATAATATAGCTGCAGCATTTTTTTTTATAGGATAGGGTGACAAACGAGCACACAGTCCACCTGATAGTAAGTGGTTGCTGTGGCCCATAGACATCTACTTTTATCCTCGTTTGCGAATAAAAAAAAAACAAAGTTAAGCTGTTTGGTCAATCTAAGGCACATTTTTTTTATAGAATAGGGTGACAAACGAGCACACAGTCCACCTGATGGTAAGTGGTTGCTGTGGCCCATAGACATCTAGATGCGTTGTCACCCGTGAGAACTAAGATGGAATGCCTCTTTTCCAGTAAAAAGGGTCTCCGGTTCTCTACACTCACCATACGAAACACAGCAGTATCAAGCTTCTCTTTTACGCTGGTATTCTGTGAGAGCGTGGTCCTTCCCCGGTCGAGCCGACCCATTCGTGCTACAACTATACTACTAATATAGCTGCAGCATGGCTCTACCACGTCATAAAAGCATGGCTCTATCACGTAAATCTTAACAGGAATATGCACTATACTGCAGTTTACAATCGTTTTTAACGTCAAGGGTGTGCTTATTATATATTATGGAACGTTACGAGGACTTAAAAGTAATAAAGAATATAAAATTAGTTATGCTATCGAGCTGAACTCGGAGCTAATTAGCATTTGATCCGCGCGGCTAACTTTTAAGATCAACATTACGTCAAACATAATTACGTAACCCGCGACACGTGTACTGCACGACACCGACACGCCTCCTTAGTTCATTATGTCTTTGTTGTATTTTTTTTTTAGTTTCACATTCGCTCGTGATAGAGTTTTCAAACAGCGAATGTAAATTCCTTAAAGTATGTATTTTTTTTGTTATTATTTTTTTAGCATATTAATAAGCCAGTTATTGAATAAGATTTATCTAGTGGTTAGCGATGTTGAGGCCCTATATAGTAAATCTCACCATCCTAGCGGAACAAAAGCGTATACCCTCACACACGCCGGCAAATTATTCCACTCTTGCCATTAAACATGGGAGAGAATACATATTGAAATGTGCAATCATTACAATATAAAACACCATGTTTAATGCAAATAATAAAATCTGAATTTGTGTTTTTATAAAAAAAAAAGCTTATAATAGTTGAATTCCGTTGAATCTTTTAGGTATGTGTTAAAACTGAGTGTTCGTTTCAACGTTTAGCAAAACAAAGCACGCCGAATGCGCTCCGCTTCTCTGAATGCTTGAACAAGAGATTTAAATATGGCAATTGTTTTGTTTTTAATGATTTCCATGTTTTCACAGCTTGATTAAGGCGAAATTCGGTCATTATACTAATTATGCTCATATTAATTAATCTGTGATATCCAGTTCCGAAACTGCATATCCCACTAGCAACGACGTCGATACGATCTTGTAACGAGAAAAAGTCGCTGCTTCTAAACGGAAGCGACGCTGAAGACTTATGATAATAGTAGTTAAAAGGCTCTCCACATCGCATAGCCCCTTAGTATTAATCCTTACAACTAATATTAGCAATAAACAGCCCCTTTCGGCTAATTATGCTGAGATGTTCCGGGTGGTGTTGCCCTCGTCGCGCCAGGGATTTTAGTCGACGATGCACTTTATATCGCGGTCTATTTCTTAAACGGGATATTAAAACTTTACATTCCAAATAGTTAACTACCGGTTCAATAGAGTATATAAAAATCTAAACTATCTAACGCTTATATATACGTCCCAATCCTGGGTACAGACGTCCCCTTCCTGACTTTTTCATATTTAAAATTGTTTCAAATCATTAAAATTAAATTGCAGTGTAGTTTTTAAATAAAACTAATCTTACGGATTTTATCGCGTATATTAACTTATTTTTATATTCCCGACGTTTCGGGTGCTTTCCAGCACCCGTGGTCACGGGGGACTGAGTTGTTTGACGTCCTGCTGTCATAGTTAGCCCGGCTACCTTCAGTTTTTTAATATTAATTTAACTATGACAGCAGGACGTCAAACAACTCAGTCCCCCGTGACCACGGGTGCTGGAAAGCACCCGAAACGTCGGGAATATAAAAATAAGTTAATATACGCGATAAAATCCGTAAAATTAGATTTAAAAATGTGTAGTGTTCGCGTAAATATAAGAAATCATTATTGCAGTGTAGTTCTTTTTATACAAGTAAGGGTGAGTGCACAGTCTACTTAATGGTAAGTAGGTGCTTTAGCCTAAAGTCACCTGCATCTACCCTCAATTTAGAATCAAAATTCAGATGCGTGGGCGATAACGATTGCCTCATTAGTAAAAAGTGTAGGTTCTCTACACTCACCATATGAAATACAGCAACATTAAGCTGCTATTTTATGCTGGTATTCTGGGAGAGTTTGTCCCGATCGAGCCGAAAACATTCGTGTTACAACCATAATATAGCTGCAGCTATAAGCATGGTTCTGAGGACCCCTCTCGTTGTTGGTGGTATATTGGGTGGGCGGAATCCTCTACTGCCTATCCCGGCAGTACAGGCTTGCTGCCTGGCAGCAGAGATAGGTATGACCTTAGTACCTACTCAGATGAAATCCTAAACAAGAAAGGAGTTCTATAATCTAGAAAAAATAATATTAGTTATTAGTAAAAATAATATTATTGCAATCGCTGCTATGGCTACAGTTCACTGCCAAGTCTTGATTTCAATAATAAAATAAGTTGCTTAGCTGTAAGCAATATCACTTCTTATGGACCAAGTACATAGTTTCCCAGATGAGTGTT